GCCAGGCACAGTTCTAAGCACTTTCTATCCATTAGCTCATCTAATGCTCAAAATAACTCTGTAAGATAGATATTGTCATATCCCCACTTTTCAGATAGAGAGCTGAGGCACAGAGAGGTTAGGTAACTTACCCAGGGGTCCACAGCCAGTGAATAGCAAATCCGCGATCCAAACCCAGGCAGCCTGGCCCAGAACCCAAACTCATCTCCCACACGCTGCTGTCTGTGATCATCCCTAAGATGCTGATGTCCATCTTGTTTCATGCTTTTCTTTATAGAAACCTCGATTCCCTGAGGCAACAGACCTGAAGGGCCTGGGAGGGGAAGGGTTCCAAGGCTTGTTAAAGAGGAGGGGGTGGGGTGGGGGCCAGATGGGGAGGGGGGGGAGCTGCAAGCCAGGGACGCTGAGCTGCACTCCTCCATGGCATCCGGGAGGGCCGTGGGGTGCTGGGGGAGGCCTGTATTGACTGCCACAATGTCAGAGCCTGATGAAGAGCGCCTCGCCCTGGCTGGGCACAGAGGAAGTGCAGCTGCCCAGCTTCAGATAGGTCATGTGGTTCAGGGTCACCCGGAGAGGCCATCTGAATGGAAAATCAGCCTCTCCTCCCATGTTGCTGGGCCGTGTTGGCCGTGGAGGGGTCTCCTACGTTTCCAGCAGAGAAAGGACAGCCCCCAGAAGGACTGGCAGATGCTGGGAGCAGCCAGGCTGTGCACTGAGTTGTTCTTCGTGGGCGCCCCAACCTGCACCCATTCTCTGCCCCTTTTAGCCCTGCTCTGCTCCCCTGGCTGACCTCAGAAGGCAGCACCCCTGAACCCCCTCAGCCTTGGCTCCTGGCTGAGTCCAGCCAGCGGGAGGCCACCCAGGGGTGGGTGGAAAGACAGGGAAGGGGATCTGTTCTCTGGTCCCTTCTCTGCCTCCTCTCAGTTTGGCTCTTCCCTCTGGCTCCTGCAGCCTCAACAAGAGCAATCACGCCCCCAAGAGAGTGACCACTGGTTCTCGGGGAGTCATAACCTTACATATTGCAATAATTTGTCACCCTCCAAAGAGCCACAGCACAGGACCAGGCACAGTGGCTCATGTCTGTAATCCTAGCACTTTGGGAGGCAGAGGCGGGAGGATCGCTTGAGGTCAGGAGTTCGAGACCAGCCTGGCCAACATGGTGAAACCCTGTCTCCACTAAAAATATAAAAATTAGCCAGACATAATGACACACGCCTGTAGTCCCAGCTACTTGGGAGGCTGAGGCAGGAGAATCACTTGAACCCAGGAGGTGGAGGTTTCAGTGAGCCAAGATGGAGCCACTGCACTCCAGCCTGGGCGACAGAGCAAAAGGAAGAGACAATGAGGGAAAAAAATGCCTTAAAAGGTTCCTTGCTGGGAGAGGCTGTGTTAGTTTCCTAGGACGACCATAACAAAGTATTACACACTTGGGTGGCTTCCTCTCACAGTTCTGGAAGCCAAAAGTCAGGAATCAAGGTGTCTGTTGGGCCATGCTTCTTCAGAAGGCTCTTGGGACACAGCCTTCCACACCTCATCCAGCTCTGCATGGTCACTGGTAACCCCGGGGCTCCTCAGCTTGCAGCAGCACCACTCCAGTCTCTACCTCCAGCTTCACGTGGCCTCCTTCCCTGTGTCTCTGTGTCCACATTTCCTTTTCTTACGGGGACACCAGTCATCAGAAGGCTCACCCTAATCCAGTATGACCTTTGTTATGGACAGAATGTTTCCCACCAAAATTCATACATTGAAGCCCTAATCCCCAAAGTGAGGTATTGGGAGATAATAATTAGGTCTAGATTAGGTTATGTGGGTAGAACCCTTACTATGAGATTAATGCCCTTATAAGAAGAGGAAGATAGAGCTCTCTCTCCCTCCCCACCAACACATCGAGGAAAGACCATGTGAGGTCACAGTGAGAAGGTGGCTGTCTACAACCCAGGAAGTGGGCCCACAGCAGGCACCAAATCTGCACCAGCACCTTGATCTTGGACTTCCCAGCCTCCAGAACTGTAAGCAAGAAATGCCTGAGGTCTAAGCCTCCCAGTCTACGATACTTTGCTCTTGCAGCCTGAGCTAAGACAGATCTCACCTTAACTTGATTACATCTGCAAAGACCCTATTTCCAAATAAGGTCACATTCACAGATATTGGAGGTTAGGACTTGGACATATGTTGGATGGTGACACAATTCAACCCGCAACAGGATGTCATAATGAAAAACAGGTTGAGGCCAGGCATGGTGGCTCATGCCTGTAATCCCAGCACTTTGGGAGGCTGAGGTGGGTGGATCACTAGAGGTTAGGAGTTCAAGACCAGCCTAGCCAACATGGTGAGGCCCCATCTGTACTAAAAATACAAAAATTAGCATGGTGGCAGGTGCCTGTAATCCCAGCTACTCTGGAGCTGAGGCACAAGAATCGCTTGAACCTGGGAGGCAGAGGCTGCAGTCAGCCAAGATCGTGCCACTTCACTGCAGAGTGAGACGCTGTCTCGCTGTCTCGGGAAGGGAAGGGGAGGGGAGGGGAGGGGAGGGAGGAAGAGAAAGATAGAAAGAAAGAGAGAGAAAGGAAGGAAGGAGAGAGAGAGGAAGGAAGGAAGGAAGGAAGGAAGGAAGGAAGGAAGGAAGGAAG